CACACACACACACACACACACACACACACACACACACACACACACCAGCTCTATTACTCTTAGACTTGGCTCACTCTGTCAGTAGCTTGCAAAGCAACTCAGTTACAGGGGTAACTTTCTGGGGTAGTGGAATCTCAATCACTTTTCCCACCTCCACCCACTGGAGCCCTGGTGGCATAGTGGTTGCGCGTGGGGCCCCTAGCCTCAAAGTCAGCAGTTTGAAACCACCAGCCTCTCCACAGGGGAACAGATGAGGCTTTCTACTCCCCAAAAGAGTTAGTCTTGGAAACCCACAGGGGCTACCCTGTCCTACAGGGTCACTATGAGTGGAAGTTGGTTGAACTTGAGAAGGGCAGTGAGTCTGAGCTTTCCGATTGGACCCTCCACCCACCCTTGATCGGGCTCACGTCCCTGTAAAACCCAAAAGGCGCTGGGAAGATGCAGTGAGCCTTTGAGATGCACAGCCTGGATTCTGGCGGGTCCATTTTCTGGTTTCTCTGTCACCGGGGCATGGAGGGGGTGTGGTTCTAGAGTGCTCCAGGGCTGGGGGCCACAAAGAGCTGGAATTCTTCCTGTGTTAGAACGAGGTGGTCCCCAAGGAATAGAAGCTACAACGAGGTTAGGCCACCCAGCCCACCCAGCTCCCGAGGCAGCCAGAATAACTCCCTCCCCCTCCTGGTTTTCAGTGAAATGTATCCGGAGCACCCCCGAGTATTTTGCCGAAAGACTCTTTAAGGCCATGAAGGTGAGTGGCAGGTGGGTGTGAACGTGCTGCAGAAGAAGGCCTCCGTCCACTGTCGCAGGACTATTGGGGCTCTTTGGCCAGCTTGGGATCCACTGGCCGAGAGAGTCCTTCAGCGGTTGAGGCAGGACTGACTCCTATGGCAGTGCTGTGGCCCACATGAGCCACAGAGCCTGGGGTACTGCCTAGTCACGCGGCCTCCCACTCACATGCCTGCCCCAGGCCTATGACAGATAGGCCAGAGGGTGAGCCAACAGCCTGTGTCTGCTCCATCCAACCACATCTTAAAATGTATTACGTAGTTAACCACAAAGCTTAAGTGTAGCTAGGTAGGTCTGAGCACTGTGCAGAGCACTTTGGCATGATCTGGCCTAAGACTGACAGCTCGTGTCCTATGACTGCGAGTTCCCCTCCAGACGCTCTGTGCACAACGGTTTTCACTATTACGCATGTGCGACGCACACAGAAGCTGGAATACCAATGGCAGCCTGGGAAAACAAATGTCATCATTTGAACCTGGAGCCCGGGGACTCAGCTCTGATCGGTCTTGCTGGGCCCCAAGTGGGGTGAAGTGAACTATGGCCCGGGCGGGTTTACCAGCACGCTGTGGCTGGGTTTACCAGCACACTGTGGCTGTGGTAAAGCTCAGCAGCTCAGTCCTGTTGCTGTGAGCTTGTGTGCACTTCCTTACAGGACAGCTCCTGGCGGACGGTGTCTCCCAGGCAAACCTGGAGACAAGTCCCACGTCCGTCAGGCATGGCCTGAAAGAAAGAAAGACGAGTGGTGTGTTTACAAGCATCCCGATGGTGCTAACCTAAGCAACAGGTCAATCTGACCCATGAGGCTATGCAGAAGTTCAGGAGAGGAGTGAGGCATGATGGGAAGAAGGGGATAAAGGACAAGCAGGGCCTTCCGAGGGAATGGCGCTGTTTTGCTTCCTTTTCCTTCTTTCTATTGCTTGTCGTGATCTCATCTATGCGCAGGGAGGGTGGGAGGGAGGGAGGTAGATGATCGATAGATAGATATTGGTGGTGGTGTTAGGGGCTATTGGGTCGATGCTCACTGTATTGAGCAGAGTGGAACGCTGCCCAGTCCTGCACCATCCTCACGGTTGTTCTTACATTTGAGCCCATTGTTGCAGCCCCTGTGGGAACCCCTGTGCGGCTCGGACGTGGATGTTTCAGACACTGTTACCTGTGTCGTAGTGTGCCACCGTCACCACGGTCCATTTCCAAATTCTCCCACCGCCATGTTCTTCAACTTGTTACCAAACACAACGTGTTTCTCACTAAGCTCGGGGCGGTTTGCACTCGAGCCGGCTCTCACATTCCCACTTTCCCCTGAAACCCCCTTCTCTTCCAGGGCCTGGGGACCCGGGACAACACCCTGATCCGCATCATGGTCTCCCGGAGTGAGCTGGACATGCTGGACATCCGGGAGATCTTCCGGACCAAGTACGAGAAGTCCCTGTACAGCATGATCAAGGTGAGTGGAGGGTCATGGAAGGGACAGGGAGCGTTCTCCTAAAACACAGGCTTGAGTCTCCCTCCTGGCAGAAAAGCCCTTTGGCCCTCCAAAGCCACGGTTTCTTAGAAATTCCAGGAACCCCTGCCTTTCGGCACATCCTGGCAATGCCAAAAGACCCGGCAGAGATGTGAGCGCTGGGTGCTTGTGAGTAGTGTGGTGAGGCTAGGAGGAAGGCTGGGACTGAGTGGGCAGGGGGACCCCAGCTAAACTAGGGATGAGGGCCTCCCCCCGGCGACCTCTATGGAGAGTGTATCTGAGAATCCCCCACCTCGACTGAACCGCTGATGCTGATGGCACTGGGGCCTCTAGCCGTGGGGCTTCTTTGCCAATCCACAGGTGTAGGTACCCCTTCCCCCCCCTTCTGATGAAGCTTCGTGAGGCAGATAGCAAACGGGGTTCACGCCATGCTCCCCCAAAGTGTGTTTCCAATTAGGAGAATTTAATAGCCATTCCATGTAGGAATGAATGGGCTCTAGGAACACAGGTGTGGAAGAACCTTGGAGGACTAAAGAGACATTGACTTTGAATAAAGATGCGTTGGTCTTGAAAGACCCTGGGAAGCCTCAGTAAGGATTAGAACACACGATCTCTACTAGCTGCCCATTTGTTTATTGGATTGTGGCTCTTTCCCTGCTTTTGCTTAGAACAGTGGTCCTCAACCTTCCTCA